ATTCCATAAGATTACTTGTTTTCATTGGTGTTACTTTCGTACTAACATCAACTGATGGTTCTTCTTTTGGTGGAATATTATGGATTTTTTAAACTTTAAATTTAAAAATTTTATAGGACGTTGGTGGTATCTAGATGAATTGCGTTTAAAAAGTAATGAAGATTTACATAAATTATGGTAATAAATAGAAAAATAAAATGAAAAAATTTCTATAATGTTTAATCATTGTTATTAGGTATGTTCTATTAAAAGAACGTAATCGTTTATTAACTATGGAAGAAGAATATCGATATCAACATGAATTATTTCCTAGTCCTGAACGTATTGATAAAGTAATAAATTGATTATTTATCTATGATTTCGATTTCAATAAATTAACTTTTTACCTTTCATAATACGATTCCAGACGAATCATTCATCAAATAACTATTGCAATAGAATATTTTTGTGTCTCCGATATGTTGATCAGGCGCACTATTACTTGGTCACTTTTGTGATCATTGAGAGAGGAATGACTTAACAAAATTTTCATATAGTTGGACCAAAAAACGTCGTAGATAACTCAAGAACGTTTCATTAGCTAAAGGTTTGGTTTTCTGAAAAATTCCTAGTAGTGATCATTCTGTATTTGATTATTTTTTCTCTACTTAGCTTTTGTGAAATTTTCAAATGGTATGCATACTAATAAGGAGACATTATCATCATTACATATCCCACAAAACATTCCCATCATATGTCTTGTCTGTTGGTAGAAAAATATTTTATTTAGAAAAGTTATCGATTTTGGAACTCATCTTTTATTTTTCGAAGATGAAGCAATATAAATAAAACAAAATATTTTCTTATCAATTTTTCCTAAAATTTTTTAATTTCATGTTATCTTTATTTCCTGTAATCTTTCTATGAATGGTCACTCGAATGATCAAGAAGAAGTAAATAGTTAAAATTAATTTGATTTTATATTCAGGTTGAAGAAAGTATGCGTAATATAATGTTGGTTATACGAGAACGTGATATTGCTTATAATCTATTAGAAACAGGCAAAACTGGTGAACAAACTCCTCAAATACGGTATGACTAAGTAAATATCTATTCATAGATTGTTATGCATTTTTATATTTTTAGTGAAACAAGTTTTGGTCTTTTACGATATTATCAACCAAAAGAACGTATATTACCTTTTTATAAAAATCGTTATTATCAATTATTATGGGGTAAACGTAAATCGGGTGTATGTATCTTTTATATTTATTCATTAAATTTGTATTATTATTTATTTATTTATTTTTAGCCATGGACAAATATTTTTAAACGACGTTATAATGAATTTCAAGAACATCAAGAACATCAAGAAACAAATCGTATTAAAAAAATTGTTGCCAATGTTCTACAAAAATATCCACATTTACGTGATGAAGAAGAACGTGTTTTGGAAGAATATAAGAAAAGTTATGATTTTGAGCAGTATCATATACCAAAACGATTAGCTCAACGACCAAAATTACGTGGTCATCAAGCTGTATGGCATGAACCAGAATTTATTGAAAATGGAACATTAGATGATCCAAATAGTGAAGATTTTGAACGTTTACAACAAGAAAAAGTTGTTCGAATGCGAAGAAAGAAAAAATAAATAAAAGAATCTATTTTTTTTCTTTCATAGATAAACACAGATATAATCTATTCGTTAGATTTTTTTCATTTACTTTCAACAATTTGAATTTCTTTAAAATGACATATAACTATTAGAGATTAGTTTATTTGATATATTGAAAAACTACAATTACAATACTCTATAATACAAAAGAATTATTGGAATTAATAACGTCTATCATATCCTTTTTCATAGGGAAAGTCGTACTCATCATCATCCATAGGATATCATGATCCATAACTACCGAAACCTGGATGTATTTTCTAGTTATACTACACGCAAGCTACAAAAATCTCCGCTGCATCCGAATTCTGATGGGTCATATGCACCACCTCAAGCACGAAAAAAATCGTCACTAATTTGACCCATTATTTAAATTGAAGCTAAATAAAAAAAATACCAAGATTTAAACAAATTGTAACTTTATGTCATACAGTTTCATTCACCTTTAATCCTCTCCCTCTCAAAGAAACTCAATTTTCGTCAAATGCATGGAAACATAGCCCGAAGTCCGATCTTTGATCAGTGACATGATTTTTTTTATTTGACACCTAGTTTTTTTCCGAAAATTTCCGTCACTTTCTTCTTGAAAACTATGGTTTGTTTCAGATAAAATGGAAACTCTTTTTCGCTTTTCTCTGTTTCTGTTCTTTTGATCGCTCATTCCAGAGTTTTCGAAAGACCTTCATTGTAACCAATGACTTTTTTTGTTTGAAAAATCACGTGAAGATGTAGGACGTAGCAGAGCCCGCTTTTTGAATTAAACTTTGTTACTATTATATTATAAAAGAGTACTTTTATAATTAGAGCGGTACTTTTTGAAAATTTTTCGAAACATTGAGCTTTTCATCATTTTCCTCCTCTTACAAGAAAGAGTCTTTATCATACCCTTCATCATGAAATGCTTTTTCAAATGATCTTTATTTGTTGAGTATCTCTCAAAAACATCATAGTAGAGACCTGGAAATTTTAGCATATCATCATCACTACAGTCCCAATATATCCTGAAACCTTCATGTGATTTAAATATCCATAGGCCAAGATCAGTTTTTGACGAATGGCAGGACTTAGCAAATGAAAGTATGGACTACTAGTAGTTAATAGTATGGTTTATGTATAGAAATATGCCATAATCAAAAACGTTTTTTATAAGTCACTCTTTAAAGATCTTGTGCATAACGATTAGGCAAATAATAAAAAGAATTGAAGCATAACTCATGTCATTTTAAAGATTGCATCTCGATGAGTGGAAAAAAAAGTATTTTAAGTGTAATACTATGATATAATTGTTGCTATTGTAGTATATTAAAGGCTTTCTACGACGTTTACCTAATCATTCAGTATGAATGTAAATCTACAAAATATTTTTTTGTACTCTATGACATATAATCAAAATAAGTATCTCGTCATGATTTCACGTAATAAGGTAATTAAATATGTATCAAATTATTTAGACAATACATTCGTTAATATAAAAAAATATTTTCATTATTTCTTCGTAATCATCCATTGTTCTTTCAATGAATTCAAACTGATAATAGACATTTTGATTTTTGAAATAATCGTTTAACATGTGTCTGAGCCGCATCAGCAAGTACATCTCGATGTAACCGTTCACTATCACCATTAAAAAAATATTTACTAGCTTTGGCATCTAAAAGCCATACACCTAATATCTCTAATGCTTTTGGTTCATTATCAATACTCTCAGCAAATATAATATGTTTTCCTTCATGTTGTTCTCCAAGTAATGTAAAAAAATATGCTTTGGCAAGAAAACCATATCGAGCTGTTTTCGATCCCGTAATTAGAACTTTAAGAGATTTACGTTCAGTATCATTAAAATGATTTTGATACCATGATCTTATTTTTGAATCAAGCATATCAAGATGAATGCGTGCAGCTAATTCAATATTAATTGAAAATAAAATTCGTGATTGTTGACAAAATTCTTTTAATTGATTTTTATCAACAAATTTTGTTTTTAATATTACTCGTAAATACTCTATTGATAAATCAATAATATCATATTGATTTTTTTGTATATGTGATGGAAATTGAATAAAATTTCGAAGAGAGTGAATGTCTTGTAGATATTGTTTTAATTGAATATAATTATCATCGGATAAATTTCCAAAATTAAACATAAGTGTTAGATAGATTTTTAATGGTATATGTGATATAGCTTTTAAATCATGATAAAGTTTAGGTATTACTTGCACTTCAAATCGTTTACCACGATGTATGATTATTGCATTATCTGCATTACAAATAATTAAGGGGTCTATCATTGATATTAGATGATTACGAGTACGATCATATGTTGCTATAAATTGTTCATTTAAATTGAATAATGCATCGGAGTAAACACATATTATTAATGTAAAAATTATTTTTACTAACATAACATTTTTCCATTTCATATTTGAATTCAGGCAAAATGAGCTTTAATAAAGAAAATATTAATGGCAAATATGATGTTCTTTTTTTGCGTAAAATCAGTATTTTTATTGATTAGAGAGACAACGAATAGTAAAATAATCCTCATAGATGGACGTAAAGACAAACGTTAACATCAAAACCACTATTAATAGAAAAATCAGCATATGCTTTTTGACTAATAAGCTTTGTGTGCTGCATGTGTCACGAAGAACATTAGAAACAGATGTGTCGTTAAAAATTTAAGTGTACTCGAAGAATGATTAAGGTCAAAATATATTGAAATTGACAATAAAAATATCCTAATTTTGAATTATGGTTATCTTTAAAAGAAAATTTTCATTCTTTTTTTTTTTTTTATAAACGATTCGTACCAGACTCAAAAACTTAAGAAAAGATTTCAAGAAACTATGAACCTATTTTAGCCAAAGTCATGAAAGATAATTTCGTATATTTGAGTTTGTAGCAAAAGACTAATTGTTATGAGATGAAAAACAACAGTATTAAAGTAATGACGAACAGGATTAGTAGATTTTATTTTTTTTAGAGTATCATTCCTCTTTATATTAGATTACATAGAACGATGTTCCAGTGAGACCGATAAATTGTGATATGATTATTAGGATATATTATTTGAGTATTAAATAATTAAGATTTGCTTGAATATTTATTTTCATAAGTATTTATTAAAGTTCGAAACATGACACATATAATTTAGTATCCTAGTACATTAAACATTTCTAAATAATTAAATTTGTCGATCAACATAGACAATAATCATTCGTAATCGAATGACTTATCATGTCAATCGGACTGATAAAGTATTCTCAATGAAAGAACATGTATTTAATATTAATTCTTTTTCCAATCGACATCAACATATTACTGTCATATGCTAAATATAAGTATGTATAGGTTTCATTTGAGTGTAAAAGATAAGAAAAGTTAATAATACCGTTAGGCTGTTTTTGAATTTAAATGAATTTCAAAATTTACCAACATGCAACATACTACAGTCGTTACCTGAATAGGGATACTTGAGACTCTTCGAGGAAAAATGTTTATAATACTTTTCATTGAGCTATGTACACGTCCAATCAGATGATATAACCTGACAATTACTCTTAATTTTGAAGCTTCTTGGAAAAAATCAAGATAACTTCAAAGATATTCTGTTACAAAAATATTTCAGAAAATGATAGATCATATACGTATATAATTATTTATTCAAATGGTTAGATTCTAGAAAAATATATTTTTGTATTTGTCTATCTAACTCTGCATTGTGTTATGTTTTCCATTCAATGAATTTCAACTCATGAACTGATGCATTGAATACCAATTAGCCTTTCAAAAAAGACTTTGGACTTTTCTAATTAATTTTGATTGAATGTTGCACTTACTCGATCTTTTTTAAACATTATATTTATATGAAAAACCTCTTTGTTGACAAGATTATTTTGAATATAGCATTATTGAAAAATAAAAAAAGAAACATTGCTGTATCATTGATACTCAAAAAACACAGTAACTCTAAACTTTCGAAGTTCATATTTTAATGAAACTTTTAATAATCATTTCAATAATGTATTACCTTGAAACTTTCTAGTGTGTCAGTGAATTCTTTTGTGTGTTTCATCAAGATGTTTGAAGACTCAATAAATAATGTGAGTCTGTTCAAACAGAACAAATTAGGAACAGTTGGTTTGCCACACAAAATTAGTTTGTCGATTGTTTTTGTCCAATAAAAGCTTTTAAAGTTGTATTCATATTTGTCTTCTGAGCCAGTTATAATAAAATATTTTTTTCTTTTTTCTTAGAGCATGCATAGTGGTCAACAACTGTTACGTGTTGTTAATCGAGTCTTGTAAACACAACAGTGTTATTGTCCTCTCCTCTTGTTACTACTTAAATAGTGGGCATTTATTCAAGGAACGACGACGGTAATACACAAAATACTAAGAGAGAGAGAGAGAAACTGCGACGAAAGAAAGCTGACACGTGATGATGACGACACCTTGCCGTGCAGTTTCAGTACATAGGAAGAGAATACATTTGTATTGATTGCCTATTTCAAACAAAATTGCTTGGCGTAGTCTAGAAAACACACTACAAAATAGCAAATAGTTGATATGTTGTCGAGTGAACAAGAAGCTACAGGGCTTGCATTAGGAAACATGGTTGCTCTACTGATAACCAAAAGATCTATTTCCTCATCTAGTAAAAAAGCAAGTACGACACAGAACAATTATCAGGAAGAACCAATCGCTAACATGACCTCCCTAAAATATTGGCAATCTCGTATATCTCAAAAGTTAATTGTCATCTGGTTGGATCCGAACATAAATGAATTTAATGGTAAATATCATGATTTAGTTATTCAGCTTCAATATATATATATTGTAATGAAAAGACCAAATCAGAACAAAGATTATCAGAATGAAGAAAAGTAAGAGGTGTGTTCACTGATATTTTAATGATTTTTAATCAACTTCGGCAGAAGTTTCAACGATACATGTAGAATATAATACCCACGATTATATTCTCGCTCGGTTCTGCTCTTGGTTTAGATGAACTTTACCAATCATTTATGTATTCTATACTACTCAAAGAAATACTTCTTGAAATGAGTTACTATGAAAAAGTAAAAACTAACTTTTTTAAATTGCCTCGCGACCAATATTTAGGCTATCAAATTAATTTAGATTTAATCGATGAAATGGAAAAGAGTTACAATCAGCATTGGCCTATTTGATGGTACATAAACAAGTCATTTATTTACTCGATACTCAATAAAGCATTAAGAACACAAGATGTTACTAATTAGTATTATTAAAATGTGATTTTACTTGAAAGATCTTCATTAACACATCGAACAAGTCTACTCGAAAGTAGATGAAATCGAAAAATTGGTCGTATATCGAGGCCAAAGTATGTCAAAAGACGAGTTTGAAAAAATGAAGAAAAGTAAGGAAGATCCTTTGTAGTTCAACAACTTTTTATCCACAACTGTTGATCGAAAAATCGTGTTGAGATTTGCCGATGATGCTCTTTGATATGAAAATCGACCCTTCAATCTCAAAAACATCCTTTGCTGTATTGAAAATTGTTAATGATTGTTCGAATTGTGAGGATGAAATTCTTTTTTAAATGCACACCATCTTTCGCATATGCGAAATTAAAGAAATTCATAATAGTTTATGGAATGTGAAGATGATTATGACAAATGACACTGACACTCAACTCGAGCATCTTACAACTCGTATCTGCAAAGAAATACAAGATCTCAATGGGTTGCATCGTATCGGCAACTTTTGTCTAAGATGCGACAGTTCGACAAAGCTGAAGACATTTATAATACACTACTCGAAATGTTATTCCATGACAATTCAAAGGAATTCGTATATATTTACAATCAACTTGGAAATATTCTTATTGAGAAAGGTCATCTAGAAAAAACATTGTCGTGTTTACAAAAAATACTTGACATTAGTTGCAGATTTTTTGTATCAAATCATTCAGATTCGGCAACGTCCTACAATAATATTGATTTAGTGTACAACACAATGAGATATTATTCAAAAGCACCCTCATACTATGAGAAAATAAGTAAAATAAGGCAGAAAACTCTTCCACCAAATTATCCCGACCTGACTACAGCCTTCAACAACATCGAATGGTTATGCTATTCAATGGGAGAGTATTCAAAAGCTCTAATATATTTAGATAAGTCTTCAAATTAGACAAGTAAACATTTCATCACATCATCCACATTTGGCCAATACCTACAACACCATTGGCTTGGTCTATAATAGTATAGAAGATTATTCGAAAGGGCTTTCATTCTATGAAAAAACACTTCCAATCAGGAAGAAAACTTTTCCACCTAATCATCCGGACATAGCTATTAAGTACAACAACATTGGTTTAATATATAATAGTACGGGAGAGTATTGGAAAGCGGTTTCTTTTTACGAAAAGACAGTTCAAATTCATGAAAAATCATTACCATCAATTCATCCAGCACTGACTGATACATATAGGGTGTCCAGTAAGTAACTCCACAAAGAAAAAGTTGAATATCTTCATTACAACTCGACCAAACGGGCTCATTTTTTTACCAAGGATAGAGGCATGTTCACATTTCAAATCCATACGGACAAGGTTAGTGGGAACCTTTGCAAAGTATCACTATTGACCTCAACAAGAAAATTTTACTT